TATGCATCCCTGGAATAAATCCATTTAATCATGATGTATGATCTTTTTAATGTATTGTTGTATTAGATTTGCTAGTATTTTGTTGAAGATTTTTGCATCGATGTTCATCAGGGACATTGGCCTGTAGTTTTCTTTTTTTGTGTTGTCCTTGTCTGGTTTTTGGATCAGGGTAATGTTGGCTTCGTAGAATGAGTTAGGAAGCTTCCCCTTCTCTTCAGTGTTCTGGAAGAGTGTGAGAAGGATAGGTATTAAGTCTTCTTTGAATGTTTGGTAGAATTCACCAGGGAAGTGTCTGGTCCTGGACTTTTATTTTTTGGGAGGGTTTTGATTCCTGTTTCAATCTCCTTCCTGGTGATTGGTCTATTCAAATTCTCTCTGTCTTCTTGATTCAGTTTTGGAAGGTTATATGATTCTAAGAATTTATCCATTTCTTCTAGATTATCCAATTGTTAATGTATAGTTTTTCATAGTATTCTCTTGTAATCTTTTGTATTTCTGAGGTGTCCATTGTAATTTCTCCTATTTCATGTCTGATTTTACTTATTTGAGCCTTCTTTCTTTTTTTTTCTTGAGTCCAGCTAAAGGTTTGTCAATTTTGCTTCTCTTTTTCAAAGAAGCAGCTCTTAGTTACATTGATTTTTTAATATTCTTTTCTTGTCTCTATTTCATTTATTTCTGCTCTGATTTCTATTTTATTTTTAATTTTTTAATTTTTTAATTTTTTGGAAGATTAGCCCTGAGCTAACTCTGCCGCCAATCCTCTTCTTTTTCCTGAGGAAGACTGGCCCTGAGCTAACATCTGTGCCCATCTTCTTCTACTTTATATGTGGGACATCTATCACAGCATGGCTTGCCAAGCAGTGCCATGTCCGCACCCGGGATCTGAACCGGCAAACCGTGGGCCGCTGAAGCGGAATGTGCGCACTTAACTGTTGCACCACCGGGCTGGAACCTCTGTTCTGATTTCTATTATTTCCTTCCTTCTACTGATTTTGGGCTTTGTTTGTTCTTATTTTTCTAGTTCCTTTAGGTGTACTGTTAGATTGTTTACTTGAGATTTTTCTTGTTTGCTGAGGTGGGCATATATTGCTATAAGCGTCCCTCTTAGAATGGCTTTTGCTATATCCCATTAATTTTGACAGGTCATATTTTCATTTCATTTGTCTCCAGGTATTTTTTGATTTCTCCTTTGATTTCTTCATTGACCCAGTCGTTGTTCATTGGATTTTGTTTAATTGCCACAAATTTGTAGCTTTTCCAATTTTCTTCCTGTACTTGATTTCTAGTTTCATACCGTTGTAGTCAGAAAAGATGCTTGGTATTACTTCACTCTTCTTAAATTTATTGAGACTTGTTTTGTGGTGTAATATGTGATGTATCCTGGAGAATGTTCTGTGTGCATTTGAAAAGAATGTGTTCTGCAGTTTTGGCATGGAATGTTCTATGTGTATCTATAATGTCCATCTGCTCTAATGTGTTACTTAAGGCCAGTGTTTCCTTATTGATCTTCTGTTTGGATGATCTATCCATTGGTGTCAGTGGAGTGTTAAAGTCCTCTGCTATTATTGTGTTGCTGTCTATTTCTCCTTTTATGTCTGTTAATAATTGCTTTATATGTTTAGGTGCTCCTATGTTGGGTGCATAGATATTTACAAGTGGTGTATCCTTTTGTTGTATTATTCCCTTTGTCATTGTATGTTGTGCTTCTTTGTCTCTTGTTACAGTTTTTGTTTTGAAGTCTATTTTGTTAGTATAAGTATTACTACCTCAGCTTTCTTTTCATTGCCATTTGCATGGAGTATCTTTTTCCATACCTTCACTTTCAATTTGTGAATGTCTTTAGGTCTGAAGTGTGTCTCTTTTATACAGCATATATATGGGTCTTGATTTTTTATCCAGTCAGCTGCCCTATGCCTTTTGATTGGAGCATTTAGCCCATTAACTTTTGAGGTAGCTATTGATAAGAATGTACTTACTGCCATTTTGTTACTTTTTTTTCTGGGTGTTTTAGTAGTTCTTCCTTGTTCCTTTCTTCTTCTCTTGCTCTCTTCTGTTGTGGTTTGATGGCTTTCTTTAGTAGTATGTTTGGGTTCCTTTCTCTTAGTTTTTTGTGTATTTATTATAGCTTTGTGGTTTGTATAGCCTACGTATATAGCAATCTGTATTAAGTTGATGGTCTCTTTAGTTTGGTCTCTTTTTAAAAGTTCTACTCTTTTACTCTCTTCCTTCCACATTTCATGTTTTTGATATCATATCTAGCTTCTTTTTGTGTGCATGTGTATCTATTACCCTCTTATAGTGGAAATAGATAATTTTAGTACTTTTGTCTTTTGACCTTAATGTTAGCTTGATAGGTGGTTGCTCTGCCTCCTTTGCTGTATATTTGCCTTTATCAGTGATTTTATTGCTTCTTTTTTTCCCATAATGTTCTTATTCCTATTTGTGGTCTTATCTTTTCCATTTAAGTAAGTCTCCTTAACATTTCTCGTAAGGCTGGTTTCTTGGTGATAAACTCCTTTAGTTTTTGCTTGTTTGGGATATTCTTTCTCTCTCCTTCCATTCTGAATGATAACCTTGCCAAGTAGAGATTCTTGGATGTAGATTTTTTCCTTTCAGCAGTTTAAATATATCATGCCACTCGGTTCTAGCCTGTAAGGTTTCTGCTGAGAAGTCAGCTGATAGCCTTATGCAGTTTCCTTTGTATGTAACTTGTTACCTTTCTCTTGCAGCTTTTAGGATTCTCATTTTATCTTTAATTTTGTACATTTTAATTGTAATGTGTCTTTGTGTGGGCCTCTTTGGGTTTATCTTGTTTGGTGCTTTGTGTGCTTTCTGTACCTGGATGTCTGTTTCCTTCCTTATGTTCGGAAAGTTTTCAGCTATTATTTCTTCAAATAGATTCTCTGCCCCTTTGTCTTTCTTTTCTCCTCCTGGGACACCTATAATATGGATGTTCGTATGCTTGATGTTGTCCCAGAGGTCCCTTAGACTGTCCTCATTCTTTTTAATTCTTTTTTCTTTTATCTGTTCAGCTTGGATGATTTCCTCTAGTCTTTCGTTCAGCATGCTGATCCATTTTTCTTTATCATCTACTCTGCTATTGAGTCCCTTTGATGAATTTTTTATTTCCAGTATTGCATTCTTCATTTCTGATTGGTTCTTTTTTGTATTTTCCAGTGCTTTGTTGAAGTTGTCTCTGAGTTCATCTGTTCTTCTCCCAAGATCAGTGAGCATCCTTATGACTCTTAGTTTGTACTCTTCATCAGGTAGATTGTTTATCACTGTTTTGTTTAGTTCTTTTTCTGTGGTTTTGTCCTGTTCCCTTGCTTGGAACGTACTCCTTTGTCTCCTCATTTTGCCTCTTTCTCTGTGTTTATATCTATGTGTTACGTAGGTCAGCTGTGTTTCCCAATCTTGGAGACGTGGCCTTGTGTAAGAGATGCCTTATCAGGCCCAGTAGTGTGCTTCCCTCTGTCACCAGTTCCAAATGTTCCAGGAGTCTCCCCTGTGTGGCCTACATGTGTCCCTCTGGTGTAGCAGGTTTGATCTTGCTTCAGGTGCCTAGGGAGGTGAGGCTGTCCCTCTGTCTGTCTGGTTGTAATGCTCAGCTGTGTGTGGCTGCTATGGACCCTACAATCACAGAATTTGGCATGAGGAGCCCCAGCACAGTTGGCTGCAAGGTCTAACAGCACATTCCCGTTACAGTTTTTCTGTAAAGTGAGTAGGCCTCCAGCGTAGTTGGTTGCTAGGCTCAGGGGCTTACAGTTGCTGTAGGCCTCCAGACTACAAGGCTGTTCTCAGCTGTTTCTCATGATTACAGCTGAGTGGGGCCTACCCCATGCTTGGGAGCACCCAGTTGTTTCAGGCTTTGGAAAGTGTGGCTGATCCCTTATATGGCTGTTTCAGAAGCACAAGTCTGCTGCAGCTGAGAAGCCCCACCACCCACAGGGCCACACACCCTGCCAACGCATTCTGCCCCATGTGCATGCCCCAACCCTGTGAAGTGGACCCAGTCTCCCCACTGCAGAGACCCCACACACTCTAGCAACACAGGCCCGCTTCTTGCACATGCCCTGCCCCGCAGAGGTGGACCCACTTGCCCGACTGTAGAGGTCCCACACACCCTGCTTATGTGGGCCCACACGTTCCTGGAAGGCTTGCTTTTGGGTGGGGCCAGTCCCTAAGGTGGGCTGCCTGCCCTGGCTGAGCTGAATTAAATTGATGGTCTAGTGAATGGGGCAGACCACTGCACTAACAGGCCAGTGGAAGAACTCCAATGGCCTCTGCTAATGTCTGTGTGAGCACACCTGTACTAGGTTACAATAATGACTGTTGCCATGTCTCAGTCCCTGGGGAGGTCTCACCTCTGAGATCTACCCAGAGCCTATTAAGTGATTCTCTTTTCACCAAAGGACTGTGCACCTTTCTTTCTGATGATTTTAGATTGCTTTCCGAAATGAGTGAATTTGTGTGTGGGCCACTTAAGAGCAGGCTTTTTTTCCCCTTATGTCCTATAGCTTTTCTGGGGCTATTCCCCGTTGTTGTTAATAGCCAGCAAAGTCGTATATTATGACACTCGTCTCCGTTGTGCTGAGTCCAAAAGCTACTTAGTGTGGTAATGCTCCCCTACTCAGATCCCCCACTCCTCCAGGGAAGGCTTCGTACCTTAAGATTGCTTCCGACTAGCTGTGAAGCACCCTGGCTCAAAGGTGGCTCTTTTCTTTTCAGAAGGGAATTTCTGTCTCTTCCACCTCAGGCACTGTCCCTTGTGGGAGTTCTTTTTATCCAGTTTTCAGTTCTCTCTCATGGGTCATTGTTCAATGAGTAGTTGTAAATTTGTTGTGTCCATGGGAGGAGGTGAGTTCAGAGTCAACCTGAACTGCCATCTTAACACTGTCTCTAAAAAATTTTTCTCTTGAACGTGATATGACAGTTTCTGGTCAGTTTATTTATTTTTTATCTTTGTAAACATCTTTTTTTCTATATTTTTGTTTTTTCAGGGTCACACAGCAATGCTTCATACTGGCTCATGGCATCCTAAAATAAAGGGAGAATTTATGACTTGCTCAAATGATGCGTGAGTATTGTTGATAATTCATCTACTACATTCCTATATTTCAGAATTTTGTTTAACATTCGTATGGTAACAATCTTGCCAGTAAAGTAGGAGATAGAGTATTAGGAATCCTGATGTTTATATAGTAGTATTCTTTAATTTAGATTTAGCTGATAGTGTGAGGTTTGTTTAAATAAATATGAAAACTATGAAAATGAGAGTTGGTATAAATTTCAGTAAAGTTTGTTAGGGAGCACAATGGATCAAACTGATGCTATTAAGGGGACTCAAATGACTTTGAAGTTGTGACTAATAATTTGTTACTTTTTATAGTAAAGACTCATTTCCATCTGAGTCTAAAAGCTCATATAAGTTTATTGTTTAAATGATTGTTTTTTGGAAGTAATAACTGAAAAAAATTGATTAAATGAGTTTTAAGACTCTTTTGCATTATATCTGTTGGCCTACAACTCAAGAATATTACAGGGACTATTTGAGCACTTTGTTCTTGTGTTGTTATATTTTATGATTCATTTTTAGTACTAAGAGTAGTTCATGGGGCCGGCTCCATGGCTGAGTTGTTAAGTTGGTGCACTCTGTGTCGGTGGCCCAGGATTTCGCTGGTTCAGATTCTGGGTGTGGACATGGCACCACTCATCAGGCCATGCTGAGATGGCATCCCACATAGCACAACCAGGAGGACCCACAACTAGAATATACAACTATGGAGTGGAGGACATTGGGAAGAAGAAGAAGAAGAAGAAGAACAAGAAAAGAAAAAAAGAAGATTGGCAACAGATGTTAGCTCAGGTGCCAAACTAAGGAAAAAAAAAAAAAAGAAGTATGCACTGTTTATAATATTACAGGGAAAATTACAATGAGAAATCTTGTAAATTAAAAATATAGGTGGTATTATTTAGATGAAACACCGTTATATTTTAGATAAAAAAGAACATTTTTGTTTTTAGGTTATTTAGTCTTTCATCATTTTACTTTCTAATATTTATAATTTGCCTCTTTAACCTTCAAAATTGCTGTTCACATCCTTGGATATTTTATGTTTTCTGGAATTAATCTTTAGAATAACAGACAAAAGACATAATTTTACTTCAATGGCACAATTTAAAAATTAGCTTGATCTAAAAGGAACTAAAATTTGGGAGGCTGTAGAGAATATGACTGAAGCAGGATAATGCATTTGGTTAAAATTTCTTTAAATGGAACTATGTAGTTTTAATTTTTTTTATCTTTGTCTTATTATCTTTCCAAGTACTTAAATTGTGTGTGTTTAAGGTGGCGTTTCTTACTTCAGCATTAGGAAATCAAATTTAGCAGCTAATTTACATTAGTAGTATACCATACCCAAGTAAGGTTTATTCTAGGAATGCAAAGATATTTTACAATTAGGAAGTCTTGTCATCAAGAAATTTGCAATATAATTCATTATTTAGCAAATGAAAGGTGAAAAACCATTTGATTTTGTTATATGATCAAATTGGCATTTAATAAAATTTAGTAGTCTAAGTAACTAAGAATTTAGTAAAAGTTCTAAGTAAAATATGAATAGGAAGAAATTACCGTAACCTGATAAAAACTTTTCCAAAATTTAAAATAAGTATTGTATTGTATATTGCAATGCTGAAGCTACTTGCATTTAAATAGGAAACAAGACAGGGATGCCCACAACTGTTTAGAGACTTTATGCAGAGTAGACTTAGAGACTTTATATAATATAGTAAGATGAGACAGTAAATAAATTGATATTATTGTTGGGAACAAACAAACACTATTAAAGCACAGAGGATCCAGGCTACTCTGGTTAAAAACTTAAGATAAATAAAGTAGTTGGAAAAAACCCTTTTGTTCTCAGAACTATTTAAGGCTCTGGCTGAATGATGGGCTCTCATAGTTGCTAACACAGTAATTTTTTTTTTTTTTTATTAATGTTATGATAGATTACAACCTTGTGAGATTTCAGTTGTACATTTTTGTTAGTCATGTTGTGGGTACACCACTTCCCCCTTTGTGCCCTCCCCCCATCCCCCCTTTTCCCTGGTAACCACTGATCAGATCTCCTTGTCAATATACTAACTTCCACCTATGAGTGGAGTCATATAGAGTTCGTCTTTCTCTGACTGGCTTATTTCGCTTAACACAATACCCTCGAGGTCCATCCACGTTGCTGTGAATGGGCCAATTTCGTCTTTTTTTATGGCTGAGTAGTATTCCATTGTGTATATATACCATATCTTCTTTATCCAATCATCAGTTTCTGGGCATGTAGGTTGGTTCCACGTCTTGGCTATTGTAAATAATGCTGCGATGAACATAGGGGTGCAAGGGACTCTTGAGATATCTGATATCAGGTTCTTAGGATAGATACCCAGTAATGGGATGGCTGGGTCATAGGGTATTTCTATTTTTAACTTTTTGAGAAATCTCCATACTGTTTTCCATAGTGGCTGTACCAGTTTGCATTCCCACCAACAGTGTATGAGGGTTCCTTTTTCTCCACAACCTCTCCAACATTTGCTGCTCTTGGTTTTGGATGTTTTTGCCAATCTAAGCGGTGTAAGGTGATATCTTAGTGTAGTTTTGATTTGCATTTCCCTGATGATTAGCAATGATGAACATCTTTTCATGTGTCTATTGGCCATATTCATATCTTCTTTTGAGAAATGTCTGTTCATGTCCTCTGCCCATTTTTTGATCGGGTTGTTTGTTTTTTTTTTGTTAAGCCGTGTGAGTTCTTTGTATATTATGGAGGTTAACCCTTTGTTGGATAAGTGGCATGTAAATATTTTTTCCCAATTAGTGAGCTGTTTTTTTGTTTCAATCCTGTTTCCCTTGCCTTGAAGAAGCTCTTTAGTCTGATGAAGTCCCAATTGTTTATTCTTTCTATTGTTTCCCTCAACTGAGGAGTTATAGTGTCCGAAAAGATTCTTTTGAAACTGATGTCAAAGAGGGTACTGCCTATATTCTCTTCCAGAAGACTTATTGTTTCAGGCCTAATCTTTAGGTCTTTGATCCATTTTGAATTTATTTTGGTGTGTGGTGAAAAAGAATGGTCAATTTTCAATCTTTTGCATGTGACTGTCCAGTTTTCCCAGCACCATTTGTTGAAGAGACTTTCTTTTCTCCATTGTAGGCCCTCTGCTCCTTTGTCGAAGATTAGCTGTCCATAGATGTGTGGTTTTATCTCTGGGCTTTCAATTCTGTTCCATTGATCTGTGGACCTGTTTTTGTACCAGTACCATGCTGTTTTGATCACTGTAGCTTTGTAGTATGTTTTGAAATCGGGGATTGTGATTCCGCCGGCTTTGTTTTTCTTGCTCAGGATTGCTTTAGCAATTCGCGGTCTTTTGTTGCCTCATATGAATTTTAGGATTCTTTGTTCAATTTCTGTGAAGAATGTTCTTGGGATTCTGATTGGGATAGCATTGAATCTTTAGATTGCTTTAGGTAGTATGGACATTTTAACTATGTTTATTCTTCCAATCCATGTGCATGGAATGTCTTTCCATCTCTTTATGTCGTCGTCAATTTCTTTCAAGAAAGTCTTGTAGTTTTCATTGTATAGATCCTTCACTTCCTTGGTTAAGTTTATCCCAAGGTATTTTATTCTTTTCATTGTGGTTGTGAATGGGATTGAGTTCCTGAGTTCTTTTTCTGTTAGTTCATTGTTGGTGTATAGAAATGCTACTGATTTATGTATGTTGATTTTATACACTGCTACTTTGCTGTAGTTGTTGATTATTTCTAATAGTTTTTCTATGGATTCTTTGGGGTTTTCTATATATAAGATCATGTCATCTGCAAACAGTGAGAGTTTTACTTCTTCGTTACCTATTTGGATTACTTTTATTTCTTTTTCCTGCCGAATTGCTCTGGCCAACACCTCCAGTACTATGTTGAATAGGAGTGGTGAAAGTGGGCACCCTTGTCTTGTTCCTGTCCTCAGAGGGATGGCTTTCAGTTTTTGTCCATTGAGTATGATGTTGGCTGGCTAACACAGTAACTTTTATGAACTCTATGGACGCTTTTCCCTAATTGATTTCCAGAATATGTAAATCAGTAAACATTTTACTAGAAAGGCATTCCATGGTTAAATAAATTTGAGAAACTTTGAGTGTTATATTCCCAGGCCAGTGATCCACATCAGACATTTAAATGGTTTTGAATAGGATATAAAGAAACCTATTGAACTTTCTTAATCCTCTAATCAACGGTTTGGATAAAATTTTAAGTCATGACGTCATTTTACTGGGTATAAAATATAATTTATTCCATTCCTTGAAAGAGCAATTCTTTAGTTCCCTGCCCAAATCACTGACTTACTAGTATATTGTACCCTTGAAAATGTGCTCCAATTTCTTTTTACACTGGACGCATTGGTCTTTTTTTGTCCACAGTTCTATGTCAGGATCAGTAGGCTTTAACCATAGACCCCATCATACATGTTCTTTACTACGTTTTAGAGAATCTGCCACTAATAATTTTAGATAGTTTTCGGTTTGACTGACTTTTTCTTGGCCTTTGACTCAGAGGTAGTAATAAGCTAAGCTGTGTGACATAGTGTACACATCACTGTGTGCCAGGTACACTCTGTGATCTAAGCCTCTGCTTTCATGGGGTTTACGTTCCAGTGGAGGTGAGACCTGGGAGACAGACTAGGTACAAATACACTAAAAAATCAGTATAGTTTTATGTAGTAGTAAGTGTTAAGAATAAAGTAAAATAAAACAAAAGGATAGAGAGAGAAGAAAAGAGAAGGGCCTCAGAGAAAGCATCTGAGGAGGTGACCTTTTAGTTGAGACTTATGCACAGGAGGCAGCCGCAAGGGAAAGAGCTTTCCAGGCCAAAATGGCAGTGTAGTTCAAGACCTTAAGATAGGAATGCAATGTAGCATATTTGAGGAGCAGTTTAACTGACAATTTGTATGTTGGTAGGAAAGGTGAGAATGATACTAAATGAATTTGTAGAGGAAGGCGGGGACGAGATCATATAAAGTGTTGTAGGGT